GTCCACGTTCATGACCACCAGGGGTCCACGTTCACGTCCACCAGGGGTCCACGTTCACGTCCACCAGGGGTCCGCGTTCATGACCACCAGGGGTCCACATTCATGACCACCAGGGGTCCACGTTCATGACCACCAGGGGTCCACGTTCATGACCACCAGGGGTCTATGTTCATGACCACCAGGGGTCCACGTTCTTGACCACTGTGCTTGTTGTCATCATTATTGGGTTTTAAAAAAATATATATATTTTTCCTTTGTTCAGAGGATTAAATTCCAAACAAAATACATTTATTTAAAAATGAAACAGCATTTCTTTAAAGCAGGGTGTATTTTTTCCAAAGCAACTTACATCACAATTATAAAGAAAAGCCCATGTTTACTCACAGAAAAGGCAAGTGAGTGCAGAGATAAACAGGAACTGAAAATGGTACCCAAAGGCCCTGGATAAGAGAGGGAATAAGAAGGACAGATTCCAGGAGGTTAAGGAGGAGACGCCAACAGCACACTGAGCTACCTCCTTGGCGTAATTACAAGGTTGAAAAAGAATTAGAAAAGGAATCATTTTCTCACCATGCAGCTCAACGTTCTTTAAAATCTTGTTTTTTCAAACAGTCAAATAATTCCCTTGGGTTTGTGACAGGTTCCCTCTTGTGGGAAAGCAGGGATGGATCCACGGTTGCCAAGAGTTGTCGAGTAGCTGGTGACCTATCTCCTCAGTGCCCGGACAAGGGGGTTTGGTGGCCCATATCCAGCCTGTAGAAGTTCAAGTCCACTAAGAGGTGCCTCAAAGAAAAATAATAATCTGGCACTCCACTTCTAAAATCAGCTGCTGAAACCCAAAAGGGGTCAGTTTTACTTGGACACCCATGGGGACACCATGATTTGAAGGTGATGATGGCAATTGGTGTTTAACCAACATGTAAATGTTAAGAAAAACCATTTCTCCTGATAAGTGCAGGGGCAGGACAGGTTAACCAGGCACCCTGGAGAGAACACCCTGTGAACTCCATCCTGTGAATTACCCCAGGACCCCGTGCAGTGGTCCCTTCTGTTTTTGGGTGTCTGGCTCCTGGCCAGCCTGCTGCAGACGTTAAGTGTAGATGTGGCGACATTGTAAGTAACCGTATCCACCCCCTGTGCCCTACTTTCCTGTCACTGTGATTTATTGGGGAGCCTGCTATTTTAAAAGCTGCTGCAAACCATGAAATATCTTAAATGAAATCATTGCTAAGGTCCATCGCCTGCTTTATTTCCTTGAACATTTTTATTTCATTATCAAAAGAGCCTGCGTTCCGCACATGGCTCAGCTTTCAGCCAAGCAACAGACAGGCCTCTGTGGGAGGAATAGCACAAGGAAGAAGCACCAACCCTAGAACCAGCACCTGGAGGAGCACAAAAGGGCAGCGTGTGCCCAGGGAGGGCGCTCAGTGGGTAGCAGGAAGGGAGAGGATGGGAGGACTGATGGAAATGGGAAACACAGAGAGGAAGGGGGAAGAGTGCCATTACCCCGTGAGGAGTGTAGTCAGTGTCATGGGTCAATTACTGACAGGTTTTCATTTGTCCTGTCAGCTGTCGTCCAAATCACACAAAACATTTCTTTTCAAAAAAGCCTATGGTAGAATCAGCTGTCGACATAGCAGTAATCGTTAGTGAAGTAATCCCTCCAGGGAGCGGCTGTCCATAACTCTGCAGTGTCCCCAAGGCCAAGTGTAACTGGCCTGCTGCACTTGCCGTCCGGAGGAGCACCTCCATGTCCTAGGGGAGGACACAGATTCACTACCGTCCCATAGACCTTATCCTTGTGCATGTTCGATTTTTGCATAAGGCAGTGATGAGTCAGAAGGGATTTGATGACAGTGGTTTCTAACGACACAGTGATTAAGGGCTTGGCCACTAACCAAAAGGTTGGCAGTTCAAATCCACTCTTGGGTCTGAGAAAGACCTGGGAGAGATTAGGGACTAGACAACAGTACGGGGGTACCTCTACTCTGGCTCAGCTGAAATTGGTCACAGAGCTCCTACAAAGACAAGTACAGCACCACGGATCACCGGAGGCTGGAACACGAGCACACACGGGCACACCGCCACGGCCTTCTCCCGGCCGCCTCTGCCCTTCCCTCTCCTGTCTTCACTGTCCCTGGTCCAGCTGCGTGTTTTTGTCTGCGGACGAGTGCAGGAGGGAAGCAGGGTGTGGGACGTGGGAGGGTGTGCAGGCCCCCGGCTTGCTGTCTGCTGGGGAGCATGCATCACTGTCCCAGTGAATCTATGTTCTCCCCTAGGACGTGGAGGTGCTCCCCCAGATGGCAAGTGCAGCAGGCCACTTACACTTGGCCTTCGGAACACTGGTGAGTCATGGACACCTGCTCCCTAGTGGGGTCATCTCACTAATGATTACTGCTACGTCGCTGAGGTAGACTTTCTAGATGATGTAATGGGAGTGGAGTGAACACACGGCTGCTGTTACGCCCTGTAGCTCATAGTGACTCTGAACAACAGATGGAACCCTTGACCTCTCTTTTTCTCTCCTGCCTTCTGCCCTCCCCTGTCCTCTCCTGCCCTCTCCTGTCCCATCGCCACCATCTCTGCCATGCTCAAGCCCATTGCTGTGGCCTTTGTGCCCACCCATCCTCTTGATGACCATGTTTGAGGGGGTTACGCAAAGACTTGAAATCCACTTTCTTGTGTCCACCTGCGAGGGCAAGAGCATGTGGTGTCAGGCTGACCACATTGATACCTTCAAGTTGTGGAGTTCCTGAGAAGTGCTGAATGCACTGGGACTGACAGACAGACACATGCTCAGGGGGGAGCGCAGGCAGTGTGCTGAGGAGAGAGGACAGACTCTGTCTTTGGCCTTGTGGTTAGGAAGGACCAGTTGTGAAGAAGGACATCAGGCTTAGTGAAGCAGGAGGTCAGTGAGGAGAGGCAGGCCTTGGACGGGACTGATTCACAGGGGCTCATACGCTCAGCTCCTGTTGGCCAGCACTTGACATGAGCAACGGCAGCAGCTAAGGTGACCTGGTGATCTGCTCCTGACCCGTCCTCCCTCTCCTCTGCGCATCCCTCACATGGTGCGTCTGAGAGGTGGCCTTGGGAATCCTGCTGGCACAGCGAGTAAGTGCTTAGCGACTAACCAAAACCTTGGCGGTTCAAATCCACGCAGTGGCTCTGCAGAGTAAGAGATCTGTTCCATTAAAAGATCCCTTCCCTCACCCTCCCTCGGTACCTTCAAGT